GCTAAGAGTTTCTAAGTGGAGTCAGGAGACTGCGCTGACACCTGCTAAAGGTTAAACCACAGAAGGGAGCAGAAGAGGAAGGTAAACAGTTGAAGTCAGTGTTGGCTGCCTCCGCTGTTTCTCAGCAGGGAGGACTCCCATGAACTGGTCAGGAGGAGTTTGCAATTTAGGGTTTCTGCCCAGCCAATGACCTAGCTCTAAAAACAATGACTGTGGAAATCTTGCATTTGAAAATCCTCTTCTGAACTATTCAAAGGTACCCTCACTGGGCACGGTGGCACTTGCCTATAACCCTTGTGCTCAGGAGGCCCAGGCAGAAGGATTGCGAGAGTTCAAGGCCAGCCTGGAATACATAGTGAAATACTGTCTAAAAAAGGACTGTTAGCCGGTGTGGTGGCACACACCTGTAATCCCAGCACTTGGGAGGCTGAGGCAGGAGGATCACAGCAAGGTGGAGACCAGCCTCGACTACAAAGTGAACTCAAGGCCACCCTGATCCGCATAGCAAGAGACTGTCTCAAAAAGACAAAATAAATTAATAAATAACATCAGTGCGGAGTGACCGGGTTGTGCAGGGCAGAGACCTTTCCCAGCACTTGCCAGGGAGCAGAAGACACAACCAAGGGAGCATAGAGGCCGCAGTGAGGGCTGTGTGTGTGGTGCTTCACCATAGAGGCCGCAGTGAGGGCTGTGTGTGTGGTGCTTCACCATAGAGGCCGCAGTGAGGGCTGTGTGTGGTGCTTCAGGGGTGCGGAGAAGCTGGGAGGAAGAATGGGGCAATGATTGGCTCTGGCGTTGGAGGCTAAGATCTGTCCTGGGCACTGCTGGCAGCTGAGAGAAGAACAGCTGGAGAGGCAGGGGCAGGAGTTGTTCACAGAGTTGTCCTGCTGCTGCACGGGGGCTTTCTCCACAACAGGCCACCTGCTCGCCCTCAGCCCTGGCCTGGGGGAAATGGGACACACACACACACACACACACACACACACACACACACAGAGTTTGGAATAGCTCACTGGGGCTGGGGCCCATAGTCTTTGCATCATTTTAGAAGCATCCTTGGCCTTATCTTCTGTCCCCTGGTGGGCAAAGTCATGGAGAAACATTACTCTAGGAAAGAGATCCGAGTCAGAAAAACTATGAGCAAGGCAGTATCGTGGGACTATCAGGGCGCAGCCAGGGGAGACCTGAGCAGTGACTGTCACAGACGGTGTGGGCAGCAGTGCCACAGGCTGAGGAGGGCTTGTGAGGAAACACAGAGGTCTTGGCAGTGGTAGAGCTTTGTGATCTCTGAGGGCTTCCCGAGCGCCTCTTGCTTGTTCTTGCAGCCCTTTCCTATGGGGTACAGCCTCTCACTGCCCAGGAGGGCCGTAAGACTGGGTAGGAGAGCTGGAGGTGGTGGCACACACCTGAAATCTCAGCACGCAGGAGGCTGAGGCAGGAGAATTGCTGAGAGTTCAAGGCCAGCCTGGGCTGCATAGTGAGACCCTCTCTCAAGAAAAGTTTTTAATGAGAGATTTACATTCTTTCTTTCATGTTAAGTCTTTGTAACCTGGTGTTACCTTTTAGAATTACAACATACTACCATTCAGACAAGCCACACCGCACACACGCACACACGCAACAACCACATGGTTAGAGGACACTAACTCATCCCCACCTGGCCACACTGCAGGCTCTCTATGGATGAAGAGGAAGAGGAGGCAGCAGCATTCAGTGCACAGTCAGGCTGGGACAAACCTAGTATCCCTGGCTGTCTTGCCCACCAAAGTTCACTTCTGTATAACCTTATACTCTGGTAGGGGATAAAGTTTCATCATAGTAAATAAATAAATAAATAAATAAATAAAAATAAATAAGTTTCATCATATTAGTTTTAAATGTTCAAAGGGTAGGAGCTGCTTACAACATGACTTGATATAATCTGATAACCTGGGCTCAGTGCTTGCAGAAAAAGAAAGTTCCTGGGGCCAGGGAGATAGTTCAGTAGAATAAGTGCTTGCCTGGCAAGTGCAAGGGCCTGAGTTCAATCCCCGGTTCTGCAAAAAAAAAAAAAGTTCCTGCAAAGGAACAAAAGCATCGCAAAACACTGCAGAGCTCAACACTGTTAAGGCCTTTTTACAATATTTTTTTGGGAAGCTGACGTTTCTTCCTTAGATCTGCTATTTCTTTTGGGATGAGACAACGGCACTTGTTCCCGTCTCAGTGTCCCTCTTATTATTCTTTCTGTCCTGATAAACACCATCCGGGAAGAGCGGATTTTCTCCGGCCTAAAGCCAGCTCGGAGGAAAAATCCTCTGCCCTGGGCCCCTCCAGTCCTAGCAACTGAGGTCACTAACTGCTGTGATGACTCCCAGATGTGTGGGTTGTTGGAGTCTCCAGGGAAAGGAGAGGTGTGAGCTGTCCTCTCCTGGGTCCTGCCCTGGCCCTCTGGTAGGTACCCTGTTGCACTTTTTATTCCTTCCCTGTACTGTCTGAGCTCAGCACTAGCACCTGCAAAATCCAGATAGGTGAAGAGGTTCGCTAGCAACCCCCAGACTTTGGATGTTGTGGTTTCTGCCCACCCTGGCACACACGAGCCAGGATTGTTCAGCTGCAGGGTTTAGCTCCTGTAATCTGGTCCCATCTAAACCAGTCCCAGCAGGGTGCTTGTGGTTGACTTGGGTCTCTAGAAACTAGAATTAGATATTCAAGACATAAAAAGGAGACAGTCAGTCTGGGCATGGAGGCACACCTTTGTAATCTCAGCACTTGGGAGGTTGAGGCAGGAGGATCTCTGTGAGTTTGAGGCCAGCCTGCATTACATAGCCAAGACCTTGTGTCGAGACCAAAAAAAAAAAAAAAATAGAACAAATAAATCAATTCGCCTTTTAAAAAGAAACAGTCTTAGCCACAGCAGATCTAGGAGAACTTCGTATTGCAGACAAATTAGAAGCCCCTTAGCCACAGCAGATCTAGGAGAACTTCGTATTGCGGACAAATTAGAAGCCCCTTGGCTCGGGTAAGACCTGTTGCTTTAAGCTTAGGCCTTTGGGAGGAACCTGGGAGGGCGGTGGAGGGCGCCCGCCTACCTGGCGAACCTGCCCTAGGTGTGGCGGAGCAGCTGTGCCTGGGCTGGGCGGGGAGGCGGGCTGAAAGTTGGAGCAAGCAGGAAGTGGAGCCGGGACTGCCCCAGGAGGAAACCGACCAGCCAGTTCTGCCGCCGACGGGCCGTAGCCGCCCGAGCCATGGTGAGGGTCCCGGGAGCGGCCGGGCGGGCTGGCTGGGGCCCCGGACGCGCGGGCGCGGGGCGGCCGGGGAGGAGCCGCGACGTGGCGGCCGAGGCCCGGGCCAGCCCCGCCTGCGACCTCTCTTCTTTGACAACTTGGCGGCCGGTGGCTCGGACGGCCCGGGAGGGTTTCCTGCGGCTCCTCGCTGCTTCCGCGCCCTGCGCCGGGTGCCGGGGTGCGGATTCCGGGCCGGGCCAGGACGCCCCGCCGCGCCGTGACAGCGCGGGCTCTGGAGGCCACGCCGCCAGCCCCTCTCAGCACCGGGAAGACGGCGGGGTGGAACGGGCCCAGGCGGTGCTCCGCCCGGGCGGTCTTCTGCAGGCCCGGCCCGTGGTCAGGCGGGAGAAGCCTAATCTTGTTTTTTCCTCCTGTTCAAAGACCTTTTCCTGAGCCCGCGGGCGGAGGAGGAGCAGCCTCGAGCCAGGCCTGGGCGCTGCGTCCTCTCCTTGCGTTCATATCTGCAGAGGCAGGCGCTGGCCTGGCCTGGCATGCGGCGGCTGGGAAAGCAGAAGTGAGCGGCTCAGCGGTTGGGTGACCAGTGGGGGCCTGGCTTGTGGCCCCAACTCTAAGCCCTGGTCCAACTGCCAAGAGGCCGGGAGCCCGAGGGCCCGCCAGCAGCTGTCTAGGCTACAGTGCCCTGTCCGCGGGCACCTACATTATTTATATTTTATTATTTGTAGCATTGGGGATTGAACCCAGGACCTCCATACTGAGGTATATTCCCAGCCCTTTTTAGTTTTTTTTTTTTAATTTTGAGACAGGGTTTTGCCAAATTGCCCAGGCTGAGCTCAAACTTGCAATCCTCCTGCCTCAGCTTCCCAGGGTGCGGGGATTACAGGCATGCACCGTGTAATGCCAGGCTGTCCCATACTTGAGTGAGAATACATCAGACCCAGGAGAGGAGGTGACTGGGAAATACGCAGTGCTTGGCTGTGCACTGGAGAGGGATGTCGTGAACTGCCCTTCTCCTGTTCCCACAGCCTTCTGAGGAGCCTGGGAGAGTAGGGAGCTTTTGTGGCGCTGTTCTTCCTTGTCATGGCCCTGAGAACCCTGGAGAGAAGGTTAATCTACTCTGGCTGCATCAGATTTCACCTTCTGGGGTTTAAAAATGCAATTGTGTTTGATGGCATGAAATATTCTCTTCTACACCACTCGTTCAAACACTGGGGAAAGCTGAAATCCACCTTAGGCCCTCCTTTTCTGTCCTCTTTGCTCCACCATTTGGCCTAATTTTTTTGTTTTTGTTGTTTGTTTTTTTGAGATGAGCGCTCTCTGTGAAGTTTAGGCAGGATTTGAACTCACTATGTAGCTCTGGTGGCCCGAACTCGCCTCCTGCCTCAGCCTCCAGAGTGCCGAGATTACATAGAAGAGCACCACCACGCCCCGCCACTTGGCCTAATTAACTGCTGTCCTCATTGTGTCCAGGAGGAGGCCAGCGGAGGTGGGGAAAATGACCGCGTGCGGAACCTGCAGAGTGAGGTGGAGGGAGTCAAGAATATTATGACCCAGAATGTGGAGAGGATCCTGGCCCGAGGCGAAAACCTGGATCACCTCCGCAACAAGACAGAGGATCTGGAAGCCACTGTGAGATGGGATCCTTCTGGGGCTGGTGGGCGTGTGTCTGAGTCTGCCTGCGTGCGTGGGTGCACGTGTGTGTGCGTGAAGCTTTTGTGTGCTTGTTGGGGTGGAAACTAACTGAGCTGGAGGGGTGGATGGCTGCCAGAGCTGTTGCCTTTTTGCTTGTCTTGGAAATCTACTTGAGTCCCTACTTCTGGTCCAGCTCAGCTCCACTGACTGATATGGGGTCCAGGAACTGGGGCCTGATGGGTGGCACATTCAAGGGACAGATGCATGGCTTGGCCAGCCTGGGTATCATTAGGCTTCTTTCCTATGAAACTGATCTTCCCTTTAAAGCCTACCATTATTTGTTTGTTTGAGATGGGGTCTCCAATATGGAGTTCAGGCTGGCTATAAATTTACCATGTAGTCCAGGGCTGCCCTTGAACTCCTTGTGGTCCTCCTGCCTTAGCCTCCCAGGAGTTGGGATTACTGGAATATGCCACCACACTTGGCTTCCTGTACTATCATTTGGACCTGACCTCCCCTAGGCAAAATATTAGCTGTGGGAAAACCCTCAGGCACTGGCCTTCTCTAGGAGTTATTAGAGAGTGAGAAATTATGCCAGAGGCCTGCTGAGCGAGCCTTTGAGAGAGCTGGGAAGCACAATGCAAGTCTTTGATCCCAGGGTCCTCTCAGCGGGGGCCTGAATGGTATCTCCAGCACTATCGCTAGAGCTCTCTAGCCAGGGGCCAGGGCAGCTGCTCCAGAAGGAAGGCGCTCCAAAGTCCACCCAGGGCTACAACCTTAGTGTGTCTAAGTCTAGTAGGGTCTGGCTCTGGATTTTTTTTCTTTCCTTCTTTTTTTTTTCATAGATAGTGTTTCACCATGCATTCAGGCTGGCCTCGAACTAACAGCAACCCTCTTCCCTCAACCTCCCAAGTGCTAGCATTATAGGCATGTGCCACCATGCCTGGCTTGGCTCTAGTTTTCTGAATCCTGTGTAATTTTAATTGTCTCTCCTTGATCTCTTTGGGACTTAGTGCCTGTCTCCCCATGCTTTTGAGTATACAGCCCAGGGAGACCTGGTGCCTGCATTCAAATTAGGGGAGAGGAGTTTTTCTCCCTTCTGACCCCATGTGCTATCTCAGATGCCCAGCACCCACAGTCCCTGGACAAGGAGCCCTGGAGCCTGCAGATGTGCCCACCTGGAGCCTACCCCACTCAGCCCTGGGTCTGCCTGCCTAAGGGTGGATTGTGCCGCCAGGCTCCTAGGCTAGGTGTGAGCCTGTGTCCAAGCCCCCCAGGGTGCACCTCTTCCTTGTTCAAGAGAAGATCCCAGAAGCCCAAATGTAAGCTTGATTTCACTGACTGTTAGGAAAGTGTATTTGTGAAATAAATATTTGTCACAATTTTTTACCATAATTTATTTTTTTAATTTTTTTTTTTGCGGAACCAGGGTTTGAACTCAGCCCCTTGCACTTGAGAGAAGCACTTATTCTACTGAGCCATCTTCCCAGCCCCTGTTACCATAATTTATAGTATAAATATTTTATTATTTTTGGCTTTTAGAGACAGGGTGTCAGTTGGGCATGGTGGCATGTCTGTAGTCCCAGCAGTTGGGAGGCCGAGTCAGGAGTGCCGTGAGTTTGAAGCCAGTTGAGACTACATAGCAAGACCTTGTTTCAAAAAAACAACAACAACAACAACTAAGAACAGAAGAGATAAAGTGCTGCTATGTAGTTTAGGCCAGCCTGGAATTTACTGTGTAGCCCAGGCTCACCTCAGACTCATAGCGATCCTCCTTCCTCAGCCTCCCAGGTGCTGGGATCATCCAGAGATGCCACTAGGCCTCTAGGCACATGGCCTGAGGGATCTGCACTCTTCTGTGGGAGGAGCCCTGAGTTACTCACTCTGTTTTGTCCCCAACAGTCCGAGCACTTTAAGACCACATCGCAGAAGGTGGCCCGAAAGTTCTGGTGGAAGAATGTGAAAATGATCATCATCATCTGTGTCGTTGTTTTTATCATCCTCCTCTTCATCATCCTCTTTGCCACCGGCGTCATCCCCACCTAGGGAGCCTCTCCCACCCTGCCCTACTCTTCAGGGGCTGCCTGCCACCGTGGGGGCCATGCGGGGCCCTCCCGCCTGTCCTCCACGGGAACGCAGCCTGGTTCCCCTGAAGCTCCAGAGAACACCTTGGTCCCCCCCGAAAGGAGAGAGCTGGACTATGGCTGCGTTTCCTGGGTCCTCAGAGTGGGTCGGAGAGACCCTGAGGAGCCCGCGTGTGGCCAGGGACCTACTGGTGACTGGTGGGCAATAAAGGCCTTTCGGTATCCCTGTGTGTGAGGCACCTTCTTCCCTTCCTGTCATCCTTGGCCATTCTGTTTCTTGTCTTCTGGAGGTCACACTCTGACATTAGAAGCCCTAACTGTTGGAAGAGTGGTGAGCGTATGGTTGGAAAAGATGCAAACTTCCTATTGTTTTGTTGGTTTGCTTATTGGGATAGGGTCTCACTTCAGGGTGGGCCATCTTTTGTTTGTTTGTTTGTTTTCTATACCAGGGATTGAACTCGAGACCTTGTGCTTGCCAAGCAAACACTTATGCCGCTGAGCTATGAACCTCTGAGCCCCTTCAGGTTGGTTTTGAACTCGCTGTGTAGCCCATGCTGTCCTCAAGCTTCAGGCAGGTCTTCTGCCTTAGCCTCCCAAATGCTGGGATCACAAGGGTGTGCCACTACACTTGGCTTTCTTTTTTTTCTTTTTTTTTTTTTTTCTGTGAACTCAGGCCCTTGTGCGTGCCAGGCAAGCGCTTATTCTACTGAGCCGTCTCCCTGGCCCCTATACTTGGCTTTCTTGTTTTCATATATTTGGTTGTTTGTTTGCAGTACTGGAGACTGAACTACTCTTGGGGCTTCCCACTGAGCTACATCTTCAGTACATTGTTAGATGGGCCTTGCTAAGTTACTAAATTGCCCTGGCTGGGCTCAAACTGATCTTCCTGCTTCAGCCTCCTGAGAGCTGCGATTACAGGTGTGCACCACTAGGTGGGGCTAAGGAGCACCTGTTTTTATTTCACCCTGTTCTGTCCATTATTATGGATCTCAAACAGCAAGTTTCTTGGGAGCTTTGCATAAAGGCATTCCAAAGCTTTTGGGGGTAGCACGCAGGTTTTAGTTTGCCTCTTAGGTCCTGCATACCCCTTTACTTTTCTTTTTCTTGAAGCATGAGATCTACCAGGATGGAGAATGTAGAATATGGTGTAGGGTCTCCTATCTTCATCTACCGCCATCTCTTTTATTTTAAAAAAATTTAAATTTTGAGATAGGTCTTGCTAAGTGCCCAGGCTGGCCCCAAGCTTACGATTTTTCTGTCTCGGCCTTCTGAGCCGTCAGGGTTACGGAGTGTGTCACTACGGCCAGCTTCCTGTTTTTTTCCATGGTCCTGTTGTCCTCCAGAGGCAATAGTCGGAGGAAACAGACTGCTTGCCCTCTTCTGCTGGTGCAGTGTGTTTGGTCCTGGCTGCCCCTGCCCTGCGGAGATAGAGCCCACCATGGGTTTCAGTTGTAGGGGTGAGCATCTATATCCCGTGTCCCAGGCTGAGCACAGTCAGAGTCACAGGACAGGGCCGCGGTCCTCTTTCTGCTTCTGGCACAGTGAGTCCTTCTGTCCCCTGGCCCTCCTCCTCCCCACCAGGTCCTACGGTCATTGTCTCGCCTTCCCAAGCTGTGGCCTCCTTTGCCTCGAGGGTTCTTGCCATCTGACTTGAGCCTGCTTCCACCACAGGTTTTTCAGAGTTGGGATGAACCTCTAAGGGTAGGAAGTGGAGAAGGGGTGAAGTTGTAAGTCAGGTTCTATAGAATCATCCCCTGAATTCTGGGCAGGGGAGGGCAGGGCAGGGAAGGGAAGGGAGACAACAGATGAGAGCTTGGGATCCCTGTGCCCCAGTGGTACCCATGCCCTTGCTCCTCAGCCACTGCTGGAGCAAAGCTAGGCTCGGACCCAAACTGGCCAGAGGGGAACAAGGGGTCAGTGCTGGAGGAAGTTCAACACAGGGGAGAAAGGAAGGGCCTTTTGGGGGGAGTTGGCTGGCTTGGGTTGGTGGTGATTTCTCTGCAGCAGAGCAGAGGATGGGTAGATTCAGCTCAAGAAGGCTCCACAGGGGTAACAGACCTGCCAGCAGCCCTAACTAAGAAGCAGTTTTATAGGAAATCAGAGCTATGCCCATCTGCCCCCCCATCTTGTCTTTTTTTTTAAATTTTTCTTGGCAGAACCCGGGATTGAACTCAGGCACTTGCACTTGCCAGGCAAGCGGTTATTCTACTGAGCTCTCTCCCTGGCCTCCTGCTCTT